ATATATATATACATAAATTTTATCTGACGACGTCAATGCAGCCTTTTTTTTTAATTTTAAAAGTAATGTCCCATATTAGCAATCTACGATAATCTATAACAAACGCTCCTCCACAAAATCTAAGCATGAAATACAAACAGAAATGCATGAGGATGCACATAAGAAAAGGTGGTAGGGAGAGTCATAAATCACAGTGAAAGCTGGTTTCAGCCTCCTGCGGTGCAAAGGGTAATTTTCGCTGTGGGTAATTATGTTGAAAAGGGTTTTAGAAGGGGAAGGAAATTTTGAGTCTGATGATTGAAATTATTGAAACTAATTTACGATTTACGTAATATGTATAAAACCTAGAATTAAAATATTAATCTTAAGTTATAGAGAGTGTCTTAAGCTTTAAATCTGTCTTAAAATTTTTCCAAAAATGTTAAAAATAAACTTGTAATTAAAGTTTATCTCCTAAATTTCAGTCTTTCGAAGAACATGTTAGTTTCAAAAAAGTTTTAAAAATATTTAAAATCTTCCAACTGAAAATTTTGTAAGATAGTTTAATAGTAGACATTTCAAAGCATACTATGAAGCAAAAGAAATTCCAAAATGTTAATTAGTGACTATATAATGAGTAGGCTAAGAATCATATAATTCTCCATAGACTAACATGGAGGACGACGAAAGTAGAATCTCTCTCCAAGACACCCTTAAGTATCGTATAACAGATAGTTCGAAAAAGGCAAGCTCCGTTATCATTAATTGGTATAGTTTGTCTAAAGTAAGAACTCCCCTAGCCATTCGCCTGGACCCATGGTGGTGACTATGGTAACTATGGTAACTATTTCAAGTAGGGGTGTGGGGTCACTGTTTTGGACAGGTTTTGGACCGGGTCGGCGAGAGAAAGGGAATTTTTTTCTTATTGTGCTGGCCCTAGTGTGAAGGGAAGCTAACTAAACCAAACTCAGCGGCGCGACAGCCCATAGAGGGCCAAGGCCTACTGTGTCCATCTCAGTTTTCTTGACCTTGGGCTCTGGAGTGCAGGAGCAGATGTTCCGGTCAGGTGGTCAGCCGAACGCGGAACCCCCAGTGTTTAGTTCCCAAACATGCTTGGTACTCATTTATCGACCCACTGAAGGGATGAAAGGCTGAGTCAACCTTGCACGGCCCGAGGATCGAACCAGGGACTTGTGGCACAGCAGCGCGAAGTGCTACCGCTCAGCCACCGGGCTGCCTGAAATGCGCTATTCTTGTTCTACCCTCCCTGAAATGCGCTATTCTTGTTTCCATAGCAGCAGACGGCCGTAGACTTTGTGACGGGGGGAGTTCTTACCGTAGACAAACTATATGCTGTGCACCATATCACCATTTATGTTTAAAATTTCTACAGACACTTTAGAAGGAATAAAAAATTTATCCAATCAATTACTTCGCGTAGCTAAGTTTTTATTTCTATAAACACGCAAAAATATTCTAAATAGATACTTAACGTATTCAACACAACTTAAACTATCACTTAAGATAATCTAAAAATTGAATTATTCTGGATGATTTTAGTGTTGCCAATTTAGTTAAAGAAATAATCGCATTTTTGATTCCACGAAAAAGAAATAAAGGAATACATAAAAGACATCATTTGAAAACCGAATATGAATATATTTTTTTTACAAATAGCACATTATTTTAATGCTATTACTAATTTTGACATTATTAAAGATTAATGACCTAGTTAGTAAAAACACACGTTAAAAGATCAGCATTTGTTTCAACCTAATTAATAAATAAATTTTTCGAAGGTAGTTTTTGTATTTTTTTTTAAATAATATTTTATTTTTACGTAACTGAACAAAAAACTCGGGAAAATTTTATTTCATTTTCAATTTCAGTTAATGTATGTTTAATATTGAAAAGAAGCATGCATGAATAAATTGAACATCGGCAACTTCAAACTAAATTTTTACTAGAAAGCTTATTCTTATCTTAGTTATCGTTGCTCAATAAATTCAAATTCCAACCACTCCTGTAGAAGTTCTCTTAATCATGGAATATTTTTTTTCCTCCTCTGTGTAACGGAAATAAGCGTTAGATTTATAGATTAAGTATATCATGTAAGCAAAATTTTAAAACCCGATCCGGAACTCTAGTTTTTATTTCAGCCTTATGTCAATAAGAATATTATCTTATTTAAAGCTCTATTATGTCTATCAACTACAAATATGTAAATTATTCTTTATTTTTCTAACTGTTTTTATTAAAACAGGCGTTTTATATTTTTTGTGTTTATATTTACTCAGTCCATTTGTCAATCTACATCCTTTTCATCATGGTTATAATAAACGGTCTTTTTTTAGTGATTAAAAAAAACTGATAGGCTTTTTTTTAAAAACTTAAATTCGGCAACCCTACATCTTTGCCTACTTCAATAAAAAAAGCTTTATTAAATAAAAATTTCAAAAATTATATTTTCATATTTTTACTTTTATATGTTATGTCTTTTAAAGAAGTTTTGGAGAATTAAAAAAAAAATTAAGTCCATCTTCACATAACCCTATATTCTAAGAACAAAGTTTTTAAACGTGCCATGATCAAATGTATCAATAGGTAAAATTATCATAACTGTATACTTTCAAAAAATAAATAAATAAAAAAATAATAAAAAAATAAAAATAAAAATCAGTGTATGTACAGTTTCGTTATTTATAAAAAAAAATAACTCTAAAATATGACTGACACACGAGTTGTTGAGACGTAGAAAGGGAGTGTACTCCTTCATGCAGATGAGCTGGTCCCTGATCTACCAAGATCTGCAGCAGTTTTAGACTTTTGACTAGGCATGAGTGCTTACCTGCTTAGCAGAAAAATAACTTGGACCGTCATTGGGCCAATATTCAGTAAAGATTCAAAAGGCCTTTATGCTTCCGTTTTTGGCACTGTATAGAATTTTCCGATTTACCAGATATTTTACAGCCACTTTACAACCAATTTCGGTCCTATATAGAATTGTCAGATTGACCCGATATTTTACAGCCACTTTACAACCAGTATCGGTCCTATATAGAATTGTTAGATTCACCCGATATTTTACAGCCACTTCACAACCAATATCGGTGCTATATAGAATTTTCAGATTCACCTGATATTTTACAGCCACTTTACAACCAATATCGATACTATATAGAATTGTCAGATTCACCCGATATTTTATATCCAATGAAGGTTCTATATTGGCCAATGTAGGCCCTAATAGGTCATTCTAGGACCAATATTAAAAAAATCTAGGCATTCCAATATCGGTGCATGCTTTTATAGATAATTCTTGGATGCTTGGGTTTGAACCAATTTTGAACCCAAGTGGGGCCAAGGTCAAATTGTTACTGTTCCGTTTTAAATTTATAGACTTTGCCTTATGTTAATGCGATTCCGGGCAAGTTTTCAATGCTAATCACCAAGACAAGAACGGAGCACTCAGAAATTTTAATGATCTGTTCCCATTACAAATCAATACCTCTGGGAGTATTGATCCAGGAGTCTTCTGGATTAGTTCAAAATTACAAGGCTACGGAGTTGAACATTAGTAGTCGTAAACCCAGAATTAGGTCTGCTGTTCAATGACGGATAAAATAAAATAAAATTGCATGATATTTTAATATTAAATTGTTATTTGCATGTTAAGTTGAAATATAAGGTAATGTATAAGCTTATTCTAAATCTTCTGTTATTCTTCTTAATTATAATAGCTTAAATACTTTAAATTTAGAGCGTAAATTATTATTCAACTTTTGTTTTAAATAACCTCACACAAAAATACCCAGTTAATACCAAAGTAAGCGATTTTTTTTTTTTTAAAATCTGATTAGATAACATAGTAGAATTATTTTCACAGATAGGAAATTGACCTGATTCTTAAGTCGTGTAACTTTTTTTAGAGCGATACAAAATATGTAAGTTATTTTAAAAAATATTTAATTTAATGTAAACTGTAAAGTGATGTAGCGATTGTTATGCAAATACAATATTTCAATTTCGGGTTAACTTCGTGAAAATTGATAAAAAAGCTTCGGTATGCATGCATTGGTAAAAATTAGTTTTTAACAAATTAATAGTGTGATAAAAAGTGTACTATATTGAAAATTAAATTTTTTATTTCTCTTTTTCTGGGAGCCGTTGAAAAATATTTGTCTTTTCAAGTGTGGAATCATTGGTTTAGAACAGTCGTTACCAACTGGCGGCCCTCGAAGCCTTTTTTTTTGTGGCCCGCGAACGAAAATATATTAGTTGTTTTTTTTTGCGAAAAATTTTCGTAAAAAATCGATATGGATTTAAAATACTTTTCTTACGTTTAAAAAAATCTAATTTCTTCGTTTCTGTAAAATTTAGCATGCCAACGGTGCAAAAAATTTTTTTCTCAGGGTTTGCATCCAGGAAAATATTTAAATACAAAAATAATCGTGTATGTTGCTCTTTTTTATTTCGTTTTTTTTTTNTTTTTTTTTTTTTTTTTTTTTTTTTTTTTTTGTATTTTGTGAATATAATTCAGCATGTGCGTATCAGTAATTTTCTCGAAGAAACTCTTCCATTTAACTTTTGGAAACCACTCATTTTGGACGAAATTATTTACATTTGTAAATTTTAAAACGCATAAAAGAGGGAATGAATTTCATGTTTTATTTAAATTCCTTGAATTGAATATCGCATGAGCGGAAAAGAAAAAAAAATTAATTTCAGATGCTCGAGAAATTTTTTGTTGTTGCTATAATTCCTTATAAGTCGAAAAAAATGTTAATTTATCACAGAATTAAATTTAAAAGAATAAATATCTTGTCACTAAGTTTCTGATTAAGAGAAGATTCAAAATGATACGTAACAAGTATTACTTGTAATGCTTGTTATTTTTCTTTTTAATATTAAAAACTGACAGTAATATTTAATGTTCCTTCAAGCATAAAAGAGTCCTATGTACTCCGTTTTTGATAAAGTTGTGACCGCCATTTAAGTGGTTTTTTTAATTGCGGCCCCCGACCACTTGTAAGTTAGAAACCATTGGTTTAGAATCTTGTAAATTCATTTCAAACAAACTTTTTTAAAAAAAATTTTTATTCCCCTACTTCTTTATATTAATGCTTATTGCCTATTTATTGTTTATTAAGGCTTATGTTTATTTATTGTTGATATTTTTTTTAGGATCTGCAAAAGAGCTTGATCAAAAAATTAAACAAAGTTCAGAGTACGTGGAATGAAATCAGGGTAGATGGAGACCGCTGTCGCGCTAACTTTAAAAAGTGGCGCAATTGTAGGCTTGATACACTCTCGGCACTAGCAGAGTTTCAGGATAAATTTGATAGAATTCATCAACATAGCAGTACTGCCCGGGCTGTAGGAAATGGAGCTACCCTATTGGGAAGCTTGGCAGCATTCGTCGGTTTTGGCTTGACTTTCTCTAAGGATTGGAAACCTATTGGAAAAGAATTGATGAAATATGGCTCTACCGTTGGTAGCGTGGGTATGTTTAATTTCAAATTTATTAAACAGCCTTTAAGGTCGAGTTTTCAAAGTTTTCGCAGTATGGAATAGTAATACCTTTTGGCGAATAATATGCTTTTGATGACTTATGTGAGATTTTAACAGCTAAGCATGAGGGGATATTCCCATATCCTGATTTGCCACGCTAACTACCATCGCCAAGGTGCCAAATTGAATGGGGAATTTAAAAACAAACAAACAAATAAAGAAAAAAAAATTCAACACAAAAGTTGTGAGCTCCTTATTACGATCACTGGTCAGGGGTCTGTTTAGAAGAAATTTGGGTCCGTTAACGAACCCTTCACAAAATATCTTTTCATAAAAACGGACCCTTCACAAAATGATTTTTCTTTTAATCGGACCCTTCACAAATTTGTTTATCTTCATTATTATTTTGTTAATCGAATAAACCCTTTCCAGTGCAGAAAACAAGAAAGATGGATGTAAACGAATTAAGTTTTGTCTTCGGCAGACGATTCTTCCATTATTCGTCCGAAATTAATATTCTGCGTTCAGCAGTATAGACTAAATACCAAATATTTGTATGTTGCATCTCTCATTTAGAAGCAGCAATTGTTGTTTATTTTTTAAAATTTAATTTTTTTAATTATAATTTTACAGTGTTGAGCATAATCTTGTATGTCTTTACAATTTAAAAACTCCTTGAAAAAGTTTTTTTTTTTTTTGCAATAACGGACCCTATTTCCACAAATTCATAAAAGCGGACCCTAGTTGAAAGAATGTGAGTAATTTTTTCACAATTTCACGAAAAACGGACCTTTTACAAAATGTCTGGACAGACCCCTGCTGGTTACCCATTGGTCAAATGCTTTTTCTTTCTGAATTGACTTCGTTAAACGTCACAACATTTCAAATCATGGGTTGCAAAAACTGTCTCAATTGATGTTTGTCGTCGGTTGGATTTTCATATCCTGCCTATGTACTTGTTTTAAGACGTCACAAAATACTTTCCCTTCTTCAGCATCCTTATTTATATTAAAATCACCGTCAAGCCAGTAATTATACGTTAATAATAGAAAGAATATAAAAATACATTGGTTTAAATAATAAATTGGTTTAAGTACCAGTAGCTATACTAACGAAATAGATCAAAAATATTTAAAAAGAGCATAGTTTTTTTTTTCCTCACTGACCTACGCTAAATTTTTTTCAAGAATTGAAGTCTTGTGATTGAATCCTATTTCAGACTTTATATTCGTGTTACTACTCGTATAGCAAACGAAAATAGAAAGTGCAATTTTTCAAAAGACTTCGATAAGCTTCACGTTTTCAAACGTAAAAATGAAGCTTAGAATAGTAAACATATTCTCTTCTGTTAAATTTATAATTGATTTTTTAAGCATGTTTTCTCTCTTTTTTTTATTTCTGTACGGTAGGAAGCAAAAGTTATGTTTACATCTTTTAATAGTTTTTATATGTTCAATGAAAAGTAACGCCCTATTTTACCTTATTACTTAAATTTCTGTTGAGTTTTATTTAATTTTCGGATTACATATTTAAAATTTTTTTTCAATAAGACTAAATTTTTAAATATTTAAAAAAAATTTTTCTTCTTCAAAGAAGGCTTTTTTATGTCCTTTTAAATACCCTGTTACATAAATAATTCTACTATATTACCCATTCTCTGTATGCTTACCCCTTTTTTCAGAAGAGGAAGGGAGATGTTGTGATTTAAAGGAAAATTGAATACCCTATATATACAGACAATAAAGATATTTTCCCAACCAATTTCGAGACTGTTCTGTAGTTCATTTACGTCGTTCTAGAACTGCCCAATAGGCTATTGGCGACGGTATGGGAAACATCCCTGAGGATGATCCGAAGACATGCCATCACAATTTTGATCCTCTGCAGAGGGGATGGCACCCCAGCTTCGGTAGCCCGACGATCTGCACTCGAAGTCGAGCACTTTACTGTAGAACAGTTTAACGAGGACCAATACCGCACACCCTCGATCCCTACGCACTGTGATCTAAGTGGTCACCCACCCGCACACTGATCGCAGCCAGTGATGCTTGACTTCGGTGATCTGCTGGGAACCTTGTCTTAACGATCAGCCCACTGCGGGGCACCAATTATGAGACAGCAGGACGTATATTTTAGAGTTATAACTGTTTTAGGTAGAGTACGCAAAAAAAGATCACCCTGAATAACCTTTGATCCAATGATCGGATCTTCACCTTCTTCTACTCAATCTTAATAGTTTGAAGGAGTGACCTCAAATGTGCTAATCAATAAGTGTAGACGATATTTTAAGTTACGAAATCAGACACAAAAACGTACTTTCTCTGAATAAACATACCTTTTTTTCGACGGATTCGGATTTCTGACCCCCAAAATGAAGAGGTTTGCCACAATCTGGGAAATATGGTCTCCATAATTTCGTTAGATGACCCAAAAAATTTCTCGAAATATAGCAAAATACGCAAAAAGTAAAATTAACATTAAAGGGTCAACCCTTAGAAATTTTTAAGTGAATTGAAAAATTTTTGCGCACAATTATAAAATTCGTTCATTCAAAGATAATTCCACGCAAAAAAAAATTTTTAGTTAATATTTTTTTAAAATTATTTTTAATAATGGTCTAAAAAATTTTGAGTTGTAAGGTATGCAATTTTTTGCATAATTTTAAAGATTATACTTTTACATGGTAAAGTACAAATCTTGAGCAAAATTGGTTGAATAAGTTCCTGAGAAATTAAATTTCAAAAGAGTCAGCCGTTCAAAATTCGATTTCTCGGGAACTATTCGACCGATTTTGTTCACGATTTGTACAACAGAGAAGTTATATGTAAAAAGATTACTATATTTGACTTAACTTATTAGTATTACTATTACTACTATTTTTTATGCTTTTCGTCTAAATTATTTAATCTGTTGAATAGAATTTTGCGTCAATAAGTACTGAAGAAACATTGTCTCATTTGTTCTCTATATAGCAACAAAATAGCTGCATGAAAAGTGTAAATAAGTGCATGTTAAAATAGTGCTTTTTATACATAGAAACCTTTGCAACTTCTGGCTGAAGCTTCTTGCTCGAAATGTTGTTTTCCGAAGTATTTACTTTAATTTAGCTAGCTGCGAAAAGTACCCAAAAACGTTGTCTCACCATCTGTCTAGATAGAAGCAAAATAGCTGCATGAAAAGAGTGAATAAGTGCATATCAATATAGTACTTTTTACGCATAAAAACCTTAGTAACTTTGTTATTTCGACTCAATTTTATTTGTTTTCAATTATTTATAGTATAATTTTATGCTTTTTTTATTTAGGAGGTGCTACGACCTTTGCTGTGCCTCTTGTGGAATGTGGATTCAATGCTCAAACATTAAAAGAATTAAAAGCAACATTAGAAGAAGATAGGCGACAAACAGAAGAGCTTCTTCCTTGGTTTGATAGAAACAAAGATTTGGACACTCATCTTCGAGAAGTATTTGGTTGCGGCTTTGCAAATATCAACGATGTTTTAATAGTTATTCGTGAAGTTGCAGTTATTTATTCAAAAGGTGGTGAAGCTTGGAATAATCTACGATCTTACTTATCAGCACTTATTACAAATAACCGCTTACCAAATTTGAATAATAAGAATTTAGAAGCAATTATACGTAATGCAAGTTACAAAATGCAACTATTACTTAAAGAGTTTTGCGATAGTCCTGCAGTACGATCAGCCACATGGAGAATTTATGATTCCTTTAAGAAGAATCCAATTTCATTTGACTTATCTAAAATGAGCGTTCGTATTGTGGAAAAGGCGGCAGTGCAGGAAATGGCTTTTTTAAGCTTCTTTGCTTCGGCTGATGGCCGATCCTTGTGGCGCTGCGTTGACTTGACAGCACGAGGCATATTTCGGACAATCAATGTTGCTTTGAGCATTTTGGCATTTCTTTCATCCGTTGATGATATTAAAAATGGGAAATCGAAATATTCCGAAATGGTTGCAGAAACCATTAATTCTTTGTTACTGGAGTTGCAAGCAGTGGAATCACATAAAGTGCTTGAATGAGCCGGATAAAAAAAATTTTCGACTATAATCTTAACAAAACGCTTACCCATTAATTTTCAAATGAATTTTGATGATTAATTAAGAGTTAATAATTTTTTCAAGCATATTTTTTTTTCTGTTCATTTAAAAGGTTTTTTAGTGTTTTTCTTTAGAATTTTTCTAATTTTTCTTACAAACAATTTTAAATAGGACGCCTTTCTTGTATCTTATATATATACTTTATAATGTCGTTTGTTTTTGTATGCAAACTTGAAATTGAAGAAAATTTGATAATGGATGCTCTATGTATCAGAAAAAAACAGTGGGAACTATGTATTTTTTAAAAAATTTGATGCATTTATATGTTTAGCAAAAGTTGTAAAAAAAAAAAAACCCAATGCTTTATGTATCTTAATAATTTTTTTAAATAAAAAAATGTGTGATTTATCTAACATGTAGATATTCTTGTGTAGTAAACACTGTTGCCATTTACAAATGTTAAATAAAATGAAATACTATTTGTACAATACTAAAATATTTTCAATGTTGAGTTTCTTAAAAAAAGAAAATGTCAAGTTACTTTTTAAAGCACTTAAACAATTTTCTATATTGATAAAAAATTGTCATAACTTATCAGTAATTTATCACGAACGGCTTAGCGATACAATTACTTTAAAAAAATGTGTATTTACAGTGGTCAACCATTGTTAGAAATTTTTTGCTAAACGATCTTTTCTTTTAACTCTCCTTGAGAAGCAGGGGCCAATTGCAATAAAGAGTTATTTCTCTTTTTGCGTAATCTGTGTGCGTGTATGTTGTCTACTTAGTAGATCTTGATATTTTGTATTGTCATCCTATTTCTCTTACTAGTAAATTTCAATTTTGGTTTCATTAAACCTTTTTTTTTCTTCAGTTTTCTGAAGATTGCTTTTGTATTTTTGCATCAAATTCTGATAAAAAATAAATAATACACTATTATCCAACGAGTGATAGGATATACTTTGTGCTATGTAGATAAAGACTAAAAACTTGAATAAAGCACAAATGAAAGTAAATAAATGGATATTATTACTTGCTCCCGGCTTGCAGTGACTACAGTGCTGACGTAAAATAATCTCAGTGGCAGATGGACGAAAATGGGTTAGAATGCCATTGTCGGGCTCACCATGGGAGGTATTCGTGGCTTTCCTCTCCATGTAACGCAGATGCGAGTTGATTTCATTAAAAGGCCCCACTAAAGCTGGTTTGTCCCAATGCTTGATTCGGGAGTTCCCCTGTCTTCTAGGTTGGGTTCAAAATTACAAAGTTACGAACTTTGAACATCGATAGTCGTAAACTTAGAATCGGGTCGGCTGTTCAACACCGGTTATAAAATAAAATAAAATACATACTTTTATTTTTTTTAAATATTTTTTGTAAAAAAAATAAATAGTATAATTAGGCAAATATTGTGTACAGCTAAGTAACTCAGTATTTTAACCTTATAAGTAACTATATTTAATTTATATTTTTGTAAGTAATTTCCTAATTTGAAAAAAAAAAATCAATTCCTAAATATTACTGCAAAAATAATAAATCGAGAACTAGATATAGTTTAAGTACCATACATTTTTCAGAAGGAAAAAAAAATCAGAAAGCAATAAATTTCTTATTTTTATTCCCTACCTAGACTTTGTACACGGTACTTTTAAGACAGATAATGTTAAGTGTACTTGATGATACAGGATCTATACTATTTTGTTTTCAACACTTTGCTGAAACTTGCTGATATAGATAAAACTAAATTTTATTACATAAACAGTCATTAATAAATTATCGCGCAGCTGCTGAAAGAGTAATCAAAGATTCAACCTTGTGTTTCGTATATGTGGGACTCCGCAAAATTGAAATCTTTATGATAAATAAGCAGTCGTGGCCGAGTGGTTAAGGCGATGGACTTGAAATCCATTGGGGTCTCCCCGCGCAGGTTCGAATCCTGCCGGCTGCGTTACTTCTTTTATGAATCTAAGATTTCGTAGTTATTGAATCTTTTGATATCCATAATATTTAACAAACTAATTTTTTTAATTAAACTTATAAAAATAACCTGTTATTTTCAATCTTACGGTTTTCAGTGTAAGAATAAATTTTTTTTCGGGGGGAGGGGTGAATCATGAGCATATCACTACTTAACCCTTGGATGTAGAACTTTTATTAAACATATTTTCCACGCTTTTTTATTATTTTTTATTAATTTACGTCAAAATAAGTAAAAAATATTATATTTAGCATTTTAATAATATATTGTTATGAAATACATCATTAAACACCGGTGTTTTTCTCTTCGTTAAAGATAAAATTTTCCAAACAAGGCTCAACAATGATTTTTCAAATTTGCACTCATTTAGATCTAAGAGAAACAGTTATTAGTCATTGAGATTACTTTAATTTACAAAATCTATTGTTGATAAATTTTTGAATATGAATAAACAGAAAAATTTTAAAACAACTTTTTTTGGATTTTATATTTTAGAGCAAATATAATTCCGATAATCTATCAGAATTTTTAAAAAATAATTATTAGACTGTTTTTTATAATAAAAAAATAAATGAAACGGACACCGGTGTCCCACATGGGTGAAAGCCCTTATATAGCAAGACGGAAAAGAGAAAAAACTGGTACGTAAAACATTTCATTCCAGCATTTTCTTCGAAAAAAAGGAAATATCTGTAACTATCTATTCTTGGATCTCAAAATAAACAAGCTGCATAATATAGTATTAAAAAAACCTTCCATTTTTAGCGAGCCTGGAGCAATAAGATATCATCTTTCGACTTTCGGAAAACTAAAACGGAGCCATTTTCTAAAGTTTGGCGATTTATTAACGTTCGTTCGTAATTGCAACCCCATGCATTACAAGCTGCTATATTTCGCGCGCAGACAGCGGTTATTGCAAAACTTAAAATTCCGCATAGTCTTTTTCTGTTCCATTTGTAATTGAATATTTGTCTTGTATAATAAATAAAAAACTGCATAGTTTTCACATAGTTGTAGAGATTTAAACATACATAAAAATTAAATCTCAATAATATCATTGAAATTTTGCTTCAAAGAACATTGAAATTATGGTGAGTATTAATTTATTTTATTATTAAAATCATATTTATTCTGAATATTTTAATGTAGCATGCTAATCCATTATTTGTATGTTTCCCACTTTTTTTGTTCTTTTGACGTAAATGATTAATAAAATACAATTTGAAAGTTTTTAAAGGTGATGCAGAATTGGCTAGTTAAACAGTTATATTTTTTAAAATCTTACTTGATTTTTTTACTATTTTTTTTAAAAAACTTTTTATAATAATTTTTTTTATTGTACTCAGAATTGTTCGATTCAAATCTAATCAAATTATTTACTTAATAATTTAATTTTTAATTACTTATGTAAATATTTACACTTAATATTTTAATGAATAGAACCTACTGAAAAGATATTAAATTTTTTAGAACAATATTTTCAATGTTGAGTGTAATTTCTAATGTTTACCTTAAATGTGTAATTTTTAAATGTTTACGTATCTTTTTCTACAGCAAAAATATCTGCATAAAAATAAAAATAAGAGTAAAGCTAAGGTTAAATCATGTCTAAAAAAATGCTTAAAATAAAATTGAGCATCACTATATCTATGTTCTGATAGCTTTTAAAATGAGTTAAATAATGTTATTATTGAACAAGTGAAGGAGAAAAAAAATGAACATTTTTTCTTATCTTGTTAAAGATATTAATGCTACAATCGAAATCATAAACGAGAATGAGGTGATATTTTGTACTTATTTTTTTATTCTATATTTAAAGTATTCTAAAAATTAGTTAAGAGAGTGATTTATTATTGATTTATAATGAAATCATTACTGTTTTATCTGGAGTCCATTTGCCATTGTCACTTACACTTTTTTTATATTTTATTATTTTCAAGTATTTTTTAATAGAAAAATGTATTACCCTAAATGTTTCATATTAAAATTGGCATTGATTCGATAAATGAAAAAATATATCATTTTAAGAAATTCAATTAATACTATTGCCTTAAATTGTATATTGTAAAATATGTAAATGATATTAATGTAAAATAATGCTGAAATATAACATTTTCATATTACAGAAAAACAATGGGGAAAATCACGTTTTTACTAAAATTACATTTAAAAGTAGGAAATAATACTTTAAATAAGTATAATATGTAATTTTTTTAATTAAAAATTACATATTATATTTAGGAGATAGAAATGAGTTAAATATTTATGTAAAATCTATTATGTAAGCAAATTTAAGATTAAATCACAATTTTTCTAAAAAGTGCTTAAAATAAAATAGACCATCACCGATTCCCCGTTCTATTCCCTTTTAAAATTAGTTCAAATAAAAATGTCTGAGAATTAGTGGTTACACGAAGCCCTGAATAACGAAGCTCAGAGCAACGAATGACCTTAGCCCGAACTCTTGAAAGCTAAAGCACTGAACGCGCAATTAATGTATATACATAATATCATATTGTGCTCCATATGTTTTAATATTATTAGTTTTATATAACATTTTTAGCACACTGTGTTTGATCAAATTAAGCGAGATTAATTAAATTTACATATAATAGGATAATAATAAAGATAGAATTTTTTTTATAGTATGTTAATTGTTAACCTAGAAACATTTAATCATGTGGCAATAACCAACTGATAATACATTTTATAACTTTAAATATCTAGGATAAATATTTAGAATTGAGGTCTAGGATGTATGTCTAAGTATTGGACACTCTCATATCATAGTTAATAAAAAATAAATAAAAAAAATTTCGCCTTTTTATTTTTTAATAATTTTTTGCATGTGTTATGATCCTGGATTATTGTTAATAGTCTTTATCCATGACTTATAAAATTAGTGAAATTTTGCTGACAGATTAATTTTTTTTTTAAAAAAAAGCTGAAATATTGTACCTATAACTAATAAAATATAATTTTAAAAGAAATTCCTTCAGGGTAATTATTACTTGCTCATCTGCCTTAGTAGATAATAAAAATAATGGCACTATTGTTTTCAGTTTCAAAGCAAGAAATGTCATGTAACATTTTAAAAGCTTTATTTTAAAACAAATGAAGTTTATATAATTATAAACTAAATATACATAACGTAATGCAACTTATTTATTTCTTAGCGAATTTCAAATTAAATATAATATATTATTAATAACTGAATGGTTTCTGGTTCCAAGAGTTCCATATTAATGCACACAAACTTTTAAATTATAAATTTCTATTCTAAGATACAGATGTGCTTAACTTAAAAGATTTTATACAATAATCATTTTATTCTATTTTATAACCGTTGCTGGGAACAGCCGACCCAATTTTGAGCTTACAACTACTGATATTCAACTCCGTAGCCTTGTAATTTTGAACCCAATCCAGAAAACAAGGGAACTCCTGGATCAAGTGCTGGGAGAAATTTGCCTTCGTAGAGGACTTTTCATAAAATAACCCGCATTTGTGTTTACATGAGGAGGAAAACCACGAAAACCTCTCACGGTTACCGTGTCTGCAAGGAGACTCTAACCCATGATCCGTCTACCACTGAAGATATTTTACATCAGCACTGTGGTCGGTGCAAGCCGGATGAGGAATTTGTATCGACCAGCTATCAATGGGATTCGAACCCGGTTCACCTTACTTGAAGGTAAACGCTCTATCCCCTGAACCATCACGGTTCTGTACAATAATAATTGTAAAAAGTGCAAAACTACCTGCACGTGGCGATTAAATCTAAGTGGCCACCAAAAAAATTATTATTCGCCCACGCCTCTTTTTGTCATTTAACATTCCATCTTCACCACTCTTTATGTCTTGGAAATGAACCAGTGCATGAAATTTTTTATTTTTAATAACTTCTGTTTATTTATAATTAAATGTTCAAAAGTTGTATTGTTATGAATCTCGTATAATTAATCTTTAAATAGACTGATTTTTGTATAATTAATCTTTAAATAGGCTTAATTTAAGTATAATTAAATTCAATTCTAA